TTTTAATTTGTCGGCTATCTTAATTGCGAAAATTAAAATTTGAAAACTCCATTCAAATTACTTACCTTTGATTGATTAAAGTTCTCCCTAACAAGTCAAAAGAAATATTAAATTGCGAAATATATAAATATAAAAAAATTAAAAAAAATTAAAATTTAGAAAATAAATAAATAAATAAATAAAGATAAATAAAATTGAGAAAATATTAAAATTAAAAAATGAAATAAAAAAAAGAAAGTTAAATTTTTAAAGTAAAAAAATGTTAAGAAAATAAATGTTAATAAAAATACCAAAAATCGAAAAATAAATAAATACATAAATAGATAAAATTAATGGATCAAATCAAAACGAATTAAAATTTACAGACCAGATTGATGCTTGCAAGAGAAAAAACAAAAATTAGGGGGTTAATTTGCAAAATATAAAAAATATAAAAAATTATTAAATTGAATAAATCAAAAATTCGAAGGCAAAATTGAAATAGGTGACCAAAATGAATTACACTTCAAACCTTAAGGGACGACGGAAAGGATTAAACTATTTACTAATTACAATGTGGTCCCTCCCCTATAAATAGCCCAAAAAGTTAGGAAAAATCATTTTATCCCTTCACCCAAAAAAAAACCCTCTCAAAACACTCTCTTCTCTCCCTTTTATCGGCCTAGCGCCTGTCATTCTTCGGCGACGCCCTGACCGCCGCCACTGGTGCCCGAAAAAAATCCGATTGGCCCAAAAGGTTCCCTTTAACACCCCGAAGCCGAAGTCGAACCTCGATCACTCAAAATCTTCCCTAAATGGCATAGATCTAAGCCAAACCGTTCGGTTTCTTCACCTTTTCACTGACGGTGCTTCGAGTTATGGTGGTCGCTCGTCTCCTAGCCTTGCAAAGCTAAGTAACCCCTTCCATTGTTTCGATTTTTTGTAGGTTTTTCTCTTCGAAAACTCATACTTTCCTCTTCTTGTTCATAGGGTTTTATATGTGATTTGGGGTTCAGTTCCCTTTCTATCAGTCCTGAGATCCTTGGGATTTCTTTGTTGACGAGGGATTTATTTCCCATGTCGTTTGTTGTTGAAAATAAATCTTGTTTGTTTATTGGGTTCGGTTTGTATGTTACTGGAATCACAAGCATATTCATTTGTTTGCTTTGATTTTTCTGCTTTGGGTATCATAGTGCTTCCGTTTAGCGCATATCAACGCGTGTTGCTCCTTTCGCCGGCTCGTGACTCGTTGTTGTATTCTATATTCTAGAATATTTTGGGGCCTTCCTGGCCGTTGGATTGGGTCAGATCCAACGGACCAGATTGATCTGTGCATGTATCCCCTTTGATCTTTGTCGTTGATCGTGCCTTGATATTACGGTTCCCTGTTGTGTGGCGCTAGACTTAATGTAGAAACCCTAGGGTGTTGGGTCAGACACCTTGGGCTTTCTTGTCTGGACCTCGTTACCTCCACTGGACCTGACGACCATTTTGGACTTAGACCACTAGAACCAAACTTGTATCGGGCCTGAAAAAGAAAATAAAAATAAAAACAAACAAAATAAATAAATAAATAAATAAATAAATAAATATAAAAAAAACTAATATAAATTTTCGAAAAATGTTTTCCAAATTATATATTATATATTTTCAAAACGTTTTAAAACTATATATTGCATATATTTTCAAAAATGTTTTCAAAACTATATATTATATATATTTTTCAAAAGTGTTTTCAAAAACTATATTATATATATTTTTAAAAATGTTTTCAAAAACTATATATTATATATATTTTCAAAAATATTTTCAAAACTATATAATATATATTTTTTCAAAAATCATTTTTTTTAAAAAAATATATATTATATGTTTTCAAAAAACCGTTTTCAAAAAACTATATATTATATTTTTCAAAAATATTTTCAAAAATTATACTATATTAATATATATATAAAATTATGGACGAAAATGAGTATCTACAAAACTCTTATAGAGCGAAAATGTATTCAATTATTTTGAAGAATTAATTTAATATTTTGAACGAAAATATATTCGAACGGTGATTGGATTGTCGGTTTTAATAAGAACGTTGGCATCAGCTGTGTCATCCAAGCCGAACTCTGGAGAATCTATGATGGCCTCCTTGTTGCATAGAATTTTAGCATTCGACGAATCCTGGTACAAACGGATAGCTCCCCAGATATTAAAATGCTGGTTGAAGATGACCCCACACTCAATCCGCTTTCACTTGTTAGAGACATTGATGCTCTATGCAACCGTCCATGGGAAACTCATTTGGAATGGATTTCAAGAGAATTAAACAAAGTGGCCGACTAAACAGCCAAATTAACCCCGGATTCTCATTACAATCTGGTTCGGTTAAGCTCTACCCCCTGTGGAGGTGGTAAACCTTCTCGCTATGGATGCTACTGCTGTTTAGTAGCTTGATGCTTTTTAACCTTAGATTTATGTCTTAGGTGCTTTTTAATTCAAATAAACAAATTATACTAATAAACCGTAAAAAATAATTAAATTTTCTCAAACATTATTTTCATTATTTTGTTAAGAAACACCTTAAACACGACTAAGAGAATAAATAAAAAAAATGAATGCAGATATTGTATGGACCTTGATTTTGAACAATAAATAAAAAAACATAAAGAATAATGTATTATTTTGTCATTAGATTGAGATTAGAGAATACTAAGAATTAAAGAATGTTCGATAAATTAAAGAATGTGATTTGGAAAAGAGAGAAAGAAAAATATGATTAAATTTAGTTCGAAATTAAATGAATTAATGAGAAAGATGGAGAAATGGATGAGGAATTGAGAATTTTATGGAATTGAAAAAAAGAAGTTAAAGGCCTCAATTATAAAAGTAAAAAGTATAATTAAAAAAATAGAGACCTCAAATATAAAGGTAAAAGACGAGATTAAAAAAAATTGGAGACCTCAATTATAAAGGTAGAAAGTAAGATTGAAAAAAATTAGGAGCATTAATTATAAAGGTAGAAAATGTGATTGAAAAAATTAAGGTCTCAATTATAAGGTAAAAAGTATGATTGAAAAAATTAAAAACATCAATTATAAAGGTAAAAAGTGATATTAAAAAAATTAAGAACTTCAACTATAAAAATTAAAAATTAAAAATTAAAAAATTAAAAATCTTAATTATAAAGATAAAATATAAAATTAAAAAAATTAGAGACTGAGTTCAAAGTGGAAGCTCTAAGCAATCGCTCAGAGTACTCCGTATTAACCGGTCACTGTAGAGTTTCATATACTTTTTATTATAGAGTAAATAAATTATTTAGTCGTAAAATTTAATGGTAAAAGATTATTTATAATATTTAATTTTATGAATTATAAACTATTATAAAAAGGTTTTTCTTTTTTCAAAATACCATGAATATGACATGACATAGGCGTCAAACAAAGTTAACAGTGATATTCATATATGCATGGATAATATATAATTCTATATATTGCCAATAAATTAAATAATAACAGGTATGCATATGAATTTTATGTACAATTAATTAACCACAACAAATCACCTTAGTAGCGAACAAATAATGAATAAATAGAAAATTGTAAAATAAATATTGATAAATCTATTTAAACTTAATTAAACTTATTTATGATTATTAGTTTCTCATCTCCCTTCATAACTCAACTCTCTTTAATTAGGTTTAAATAAATTTATCACTATTTATTTATAGGGTAAAGTATACAAATGTTCTCTCGACTATAGGATGTTATTTTGTTGAGTCTTTCAACTATTAAAAATTATAAAATGGTCTCCTGACTATAGGGCGTTCCTTTGTTGAGTCAACCGATTATTAAAAGTTACAAAATGGTCAATCGACTATTCATATGTTTCAAACTTGTACTTTTCTATTAAAAAATAAACAGCATTCTGAGTTGGATTTTAACTTGCTGACTGTGATATGATAAAATTTGAACCCAGAATCTCAAACGACTATCATATCTCAATCAGCACGTTAACGTCCAACTCAGGTTAAAGACAATTTTTTTAACAAAAAATGACAAGTTTGGAACATGTGAATAGTCGGATAACCATTTTGTAGCTTTTATTAATAGTTGATGGACTCAATAAAGCAACATCCAATAGTAGAATGATCATTTTGTAACTTTTAATAATCGAAAAACTCAATAAAGCAATACTCTATAGTGATTTGCATCATTTTTTTTATTTGTGCATTAATGATATGCTTGTTGTGATTAACTATGATGCATCAAATATTAATCTTTTATATGCACTTGTCAATTGATTGATCTAATCGATTGTTGGTCCTAGTCAAAGGAAATGAAGCAAAAAGGAAAAGAAAGAGAGAAACATATTGACATTGAAAATGAAATCGGAAGATTAAAGGTACTTGGGATTAAGTTTTGAGCAATTGAAGCAATTTTATGACATATAAGGCTAATGTGTGAAAACTATATATATTCATCAGCAGTGGTAGAATCACATTGGGGGCGAAAGGGAGACATGGTCTATTTCAATTTTTATAGTTTAATTGTATTTTAAGTCCTTAAAAATTTTGAAACCATTAAAATTAAGTCCTATCCCTTCTAAAATTGTTACTTTTTAAGACATTATAAGTTTTAAAATTAAATGAAATTAAGTCGTGCCTTTAAATTTTTTTGTTTAATTACTTTTTAGGACATGATTAATTTTAAAATTAGTGAAATTAAACCCCAATTCTCTATTTTTTGTGGTTTAATTACCTTTTAAAACCTTATTAATTTCACAGATAAGCAACTTGACTCCCCATAATTTCATCCTAGTTCTACCCTTGTTCATCAGCATAAAAGCCTTCATCTTCATAAGAGTTCTTGTTAGCTACGTAAGACTCTTCACAAAAACATTAAATCTACACATCAAAATCCGTCCTCATAACATAAACTCAGAAACCCAAACTTTGAGACAGTGTTCTAAGACAACATATCATGAAAATAATAAGGAAAAATTATTGTAAATAAAAAGAAACCCTATCTGTAGTTTTCACTTGTTTGGTAAGGGGAGACACCCATGTTGTTTGCTGCAAAGAACCCATCTATCATCACCACTTCCTCTCCTTCCTATATGCACCAAAATCCATAGAAAACAAAGAGATTAATGCCCAATCTCCAAACCATTTTGAACAAAACTTGAACAAGAATAAGAGATTTCAGAGCTCAGGGTTTGAAATACCTTTTGGTGTACATTTGTTTTCTTCACGGTTTGATCGGTCATGATTCCGAAATGAATGTGTGGGAAGTGAGCCCACTAAAAGGAGAACGTTAGGTATGATTTAAAAAAAATAGTTGAATTATTAAAATAGAATGAAAGTGATTGGTGGGTACTAAACTTGTCATTTACCCTAAATAAAACTAAAAGAAATGTTGGAGATAGTGATGGAATCTTGGGATCTTACATTCTTGGCAGCGGCACTGAAGGCCTCTCTATGACTTATATCAGGATTCCCAGCTTTGATGCGTTGGATTTCGTCCCTGTACAGATGATTTGATTTGATACATGTCAAGATCATCCATACTGCAATCATTACATTCTGATTCGGACACAACTCATGTCTGGTTAGGATTAAACGACGACTAGTTAAGGTTAATCACACATTACTTGATGAATCGATTGTAGGCAGATGGGACTCGCTGTCTCTTCTCCGGATCTGAACATAATAAAACAGACAAAACAGACAAACAAAGAGACATGTACATTAGAATCACCTCGCTGACTATTTTTGTTTGGTAACATTCTCTCTCTCTCCATCATCACCTCATCATCTCCCAACAGGTACAGATCCATCTATCTTTATATGGATTCTTCTTTTATCATATTTCTTAATCAGACATAAACATGGACAACAGTGAACTCTAGGGTTTGATGAAAATGTTAGAAGAGTGAAGATTTTTCTGAAAAGCATACTAATTATACAATGTCTCAACTTTATGAACACATAAAAGAGCAACTATGTAACCCTAGGACTTTGCTGTAACAGCTGCCATATAGGCACGGAAAAGCTAAGAGATGACATTAAATATAGGGACGTAGGCATGTGAAGCATAGGGTTCTTGACTTGTTGGCTTAGGTCTTTTTTTATACTTTTAATAGGAAAAAGAAAAATTTTGACTTCTCAAAATCGATTTGAGTGGCTAAGATTCTAATTTTTTAGCTACTGAAAAAGCATAATAATTAAATGTTGAAGAATCTCACGTCGGTTGACCACTGGAGGCTTGGGGATAACTTCAACTCCTCCATGAATAGCAGGTACAATAGGTTCCTTAATAGGGTTTGGTTGATGGATCACCATATTTGGTGTTGGAGTGCCTCGGATCTCCTCCTGCCATATACTTGTGCATGTGTAAAATTGCAAGCAAATAGAGAATATGGTTCTTGTAGATTTGAAACTTGAAAATGAAACCCTAATTTGTGGAGAAATGAATATATATATATGTATGTATGTATGTATACCAAGAGAGACTGAGGAGTGAAGAAATGTTGGCCAAGGTGAAGCTGATTAGCTGTAGGAAGAAGCAAACCAAGCATGTTGACGGACAAAAGGTTGGTGCAGTGGCCGCACCGAACCGTGACAGTCTTGAACAAGCTTGTACAAGGAACACTCACCTGAGAAAGTGGAAACAGTTGTAAAAAAACTAACTACAACATCAATAAAAAAGCACAGAGAAAAGGGTTTTTGGACAGAGAAATGATACAGCGAGAACAGTGTCACAAAAGTTGCAATGGACGTAACAGAGCTGATCGGAGGGAGAGAGGTGGTCCGGTGAAAAAGCAGCTGATGAGGAAGACATCCTTTTGTTGTTCTTTTTTTTTTTCTGATGATGGAGATTTTGATCTGATTGATTGATAGATTGACTGAACACTCGATAATGGTAAGTTTTCTCAAACAGCTTGAGCTGATGTTGCAAAGAAGAGGATTGAGGAAGAGATAGAAAGAGGGATACTACTAATATAATAGGAGATGTAACAGGGCCAGAAAGTGTTTTGAAATATTGCTCATTTGTACATGGTTGTCGTTTCAATAGTAGTTTATAGATGGATCGAGGACGGGTGGCACAGTCGTTTCTTAAAAAAAAATTGAATTATCATACATATTTTAATTTTTTGTATTTTTTTAATAATCTATTTTCGCTCCTAAAATTTGACAAATTCATTTATCATAAAAATGTTTTAAGTTTACCCCTAACATAAAATCATACACATCCTGACCTGGTGGAACGAATAGAAAAAATAAAAGAGGAAATAATAATAAAGGGCTTTAGGTTAAAAGGCAAAAGAAGAAAAATGAATGGTTGGCATTCCCAATGGATGTGTGCTGTGTTATAGAAGAAAGGGACGTGTGCATGCATGGTAGTGAATAGCTTTGGCTCATTCACCTGTTTTTTTCACAGTTAAGATTAAAGAGACCTCGGTTAAGATCAAAGAGGCCTCGGTTCTCTACAATTCCATCCTCAATTAATAATCCCTGTTTAAATCAAGCCCTAAATATCCGAGTTTCCCCCCTAAAAAATGCATTTCATTTATAGTCTTAAAACATTATAATGGACGAACTCATCAACTGGTCTAAGTTCAAACATTTACGTATGTGAACGTTTGAGCGTTGTCAAGTTGAAGCTCAAGTCTAATTAAGAGTGTAATCAAATAGTTGTAAAGGCATACACCATATAAATCGCACCAAGTACAAGAGAGAAAACAATGTTAAATTTTTGACAGTTTAACTGTCCTTCACCTTGCCATTCAACTTAGCTGCTTCTATTTTCCAAAAAAAAAAAAAAAAACTTAACTGCTTCACAATCACATTGGGAATCTGTCTTTTCATTAATGTGCCCCTTCAAAATTCAAAAAGTGTTATTTTTTTTTAATGTTAGAGCTTGTAAGAAAAGCGTTTATGGGCCAAAGTCACCAAACAAAGAAAAACCAAGACCGTTATATATTGGTATCAATACTGTCCAAAACCATTATTATATGACCACAATAATATTCGTTGTAACTGTAATCATAATAAACACAATGCAACCGTAATTTAAATTCAATCCAATGTTTGTTGGACATGTTTATTCAAACAAAATTGAAGGTTTGGACTTAAAACAATCATGTCATGTAATGGGAGAAATAGTTGTAGGTTGGTGAGTGGCAGAGGCAACGTCTATATAAGGGAGCCGGTAATAGCTAGACCAGACTTGCTCTGCGCCTCCTTGGGAGGGAAATCATCTCCAAATTATAAATAAATAAATTAGTAACAGAATAAGACAAAAAAGTATTTACAGTAAACAAAACTTTTGAATTATGGATTTTGACCACTCACGTTATCTTCTCTCTCTTACACATGTACAAAGAGATACGTAGTCGTCGGTAACTGCACCACACAGAGATCCACCCCCTTTAATCGATTTCACTTTATTTTTGTCCACGCATTTCATTGAAGAGAGTAGTGCGGTAAATAAGACAAGAGAGATCGTGAGTTATTCAAGATCTATTTAATCAAGACTCGATAAATATTTAGATCGAATGGACTCGAGCTACTTGATACTCGACTCGAAAAGTTCGTGAGCAGCTCGAAAATATAATATATAAGATTATATTTTTTAAAAAAAAATTATTAAAAATATTAATATTTATGTATTGATTTTTTTAAAGAGAATACATTAAGATTTTCATGCATTTAAGGTTTAAGTTCGAGTTCGAGTTTGAGGCTTCAATCGAGTTAAGTTTAAGATTTTTCTTCTTCATTTCGAGCCTTTTCGAGCTGCTCACGAGCTTCAGTTCAGGATTTTGAGTTCGAGTCGAGCTTGAAAATTTTAAGCTCGTGAGTTTTCGAATCGAGTCGAGCTCAATTTCAGAATTTTCGAGTCGAGTCGAGCTCAGCAATACTCGAGCTCTACTCGACTCGTTTACACCCCTAGCACAGAGAGGCAGTGTCCCTATTTAGGTAAACTATACTAGATATCATTAGATTTTTGGCGGTGTATAATTTATATTATTAAATTTTTAGTTTTTCAAATTATAATATTAAGTTTTGATTTTGATTGTAATTATGCAACTGGATTAATGTGGACAAAACAACATCATTTCAGAATGTGTCAATTTTGAGTATGTTTAGTGGAAAATAAATTTTAAGAGAAGAAAAAAGAGTGAAATGCAAATAATTTGATATTGATCTTATTGCAAAAGATGACTGGTGAGGGCGGTGATTGGCTATCAAAAATAGCTGGAAAATTATAGTGCAAAAAAGTGAATTGTTTAAGACAAAATTGATACACCCCTAAAGTTATGTGCCTAAAATGACATCGTTTTATGCATCAATAAACGCACCAAAACAATTTCATTTTGTTCATGTCATCATGTTGTTTGGGTTTTAACGGCTCAATGTCATAATTGAAATTAAACTAAGTTCAGTATCATAATCAGAGAAATTAAAAGTTAATGATATGACCTAAAATGACATCGTTTTATGCATCAATAAACGCACCAAAACAATTTCATTTTGTTCATGTCATCATGTTGTTTGGGTTTTAACGGCTCAATGTCATAATTGAAATTATAACTAAAGTTCAGTATCATAATCAGAGAAATTAAAAGTTTAATGATATGAGCGATACGTCACCTAAATTTCAATGGCATAATTGAATTTTTAATTTTTCAAATAATGACACTGAATTTTGATTTCAATTATGCCACTGGGCCATTAATTTTTTAACGGTATAATGACATGACAAAACGACATCATTTTAGCAATGACTATTGATGCCCAAAACGACGTCGTTTTATGCACTGGACTTTAGGATGTATCAATTTTGAGTGTGTTTCGTAGAAAAACAATCCTAAGAGAAGAAAGAAGAAGACAAAATTGATACACTCCCAAAGTTATGTACCTAAAACGACATCGTTTTATGCATCAATAGCCGCACCAAAAAGATGTCGTTTTGTCTATGTCATCATATTGTTTGGGTTTTATCGGCTCAATGGCATAATTGAAACTATAACTAAAGTTCAGTGTTATAATTAGATAAATTAAAAATTCAATGATATGAATGATACATCACCTAAATTTCAATAGTATCTAACATAGTTTTCCCTTCCTATTTTACAACGTTCGTTTTGGATTTCCATAACTTTTTGTTGGCAATATGTTGCAAAAGTAACCCCAATTTCGGTGAAAAAGATGGGTGTCATTTCTTGGATACCATCACCACCCATCCTTTCATATTGCCCTTTGAGGTAAAATTTTGAAGTCAATTTGGTTACACAAAATCACCGTGGGTCCTGTATACAAATGCCATTGGAGAATCGTCGGCCTGCAAAGCAGGTTCTGTTGGGACTTTATGTCATGCATGCCTTCCCAACCCATTCCCAAGAAACAATGGCTAAGCACCCCCAGTTACAAATTCAGCAACCGATCAGCTTTTCCATTTATTTTCGATTAATTTATCCTGTAGTCACTTGCTTAGAAGTAAGTTTGTTTGAATTTGTGCAACCGCGAAAGTAAACATTGCCTCTGAGGTTAATACATTTTTACAGAGTTCATACACCCTAAATAAAGAAATGGAACTTGATTGATATTGCTCTTTTCAAAGATGATTAGAAGAGAGAATTGCAGAGAAACAAGGAATTGATGTATCAAATATTGAAGTACTTTGATATTTATAAGAAAAATGTTAAGGCAAATCAGTAATAAATGAAAGCGATTATTATAAAATCTCTACCACCCTCCAATATCTTTCAAATATAGAAAAAAATTCTAATTTATTTATTTATTTAATTATTTGCATGATCTAAATTTCCAGGCTCAATTTCTTCCGCCTTGCAGTTCGATCGGACCACCTTCCTCGTAGAGCAACGATCGCCTTCGTCAGCGGTTTAATTTCTGAACAAAAATTCTGGGTTTTCTCTTTTTCTTCTAATTTCATAAGATTTTGCATGATAATTTCTTGATAGGTAAAGGTTTGATTTTGTGTTATAGCACGGTTTTTATCAGATTTTTATCTGAACAAAGATTGTTAATTCGCATCCACGAATTTTGATCCCTTTTAGCTCTGTCGTTGTTTTGCATATCCTTGCATATTTTTGTACTTAATATTCTTAATATTGTTGTTGTTGGATCTGCTTTCTTTGACTTAGCTTCTTGCTGTTTTTCTCTTGTTTTATACTGATCTTTTTTTACCAGCTTTGGGTTTGATTTTTCAATTAGTGAGAGGATTTCATTACTCTTATATCTCGTGTTACAATTTTATCCTTTTGCTTAGCTCGGATATTTATTAAACATTTAAATTATAGTTTCTAGATATGGCCTATAGTTAAATAAGAGTATTATTTTT